GGTACGTTTTCGTTTTGGTTCATGAACTCTTGGTGATCCAACATGAAAGATTATTATGACGGTAACAGATTTCCCAACAACATCATGTTTGCAGTACCAAATCCCACAAATTGCCTTCATAAAAAGAAGACACAATGCACGGACACGATATGGTATTCACAACGCATAGACTCTAAACAATATCGTAACAAAATACATGATACAAATCAAAATACACAGTATAAAATAATGCAACTAGTTTGATTGTGGACATGTTAAAAACAGCAAAAGATGATAATATTTTGATATTTTTAGAGAGTTATCATTTCATAATATTTTTAGAGGAATAACTGTGTGTTAAATTCCATAACATGTATATACAGCCACAGTTCAATAGGTATTCTTGATATTAGCATATTAATTGAACTCAAGTTATCTACTTGAATTCTAACACGCTATTGACTAGTCATAATGTCACATCAAATTAATATCGTAACATGTAAAACTGAGTATAACGTTAGTCATAATGGTATAGGAGAGGACGCTATAATCGCGCAATAAATAGAAGCCGCAAATCTTGCCCAATATCAAGAAACGCAGTAGTGTGGTAATGGAATGGTGGTGCCCAAAACCTTGTTGTGTTTTAATGTGTGCTCAATATTGACCCAAAGAGTGGGAAGTGACTCAAAGTTGAAATTTAAAGGGGGCCATATAATATACTCAAAAAAGTAGAAGGATCTTAAGATATAACCATATGATAATGAATTTGAAACTATATAAAGCAAACACATCCCAAGTCAATGCAAACAATGATCAAGTGTTGAAAAATTACATGCCGGCCTCGTGGGTTTATGCTCTGTTTTTTTCATTGAACCACTTTAATCTTAATTATTGATCTAATCTCAATTATTAATTAGGTTAAGAAGTAGTAGCACTTTTCACACGTAGTAAACACACGTGTGAGATCATGTTGCTATATTAAATTGTCTTATGGTTAGTTATATGTAAGCATCATCTATTATAACTAAGCATGGTGTCAATGAGGGTAATAGTATTATAGTTGTTCTTTTGAATAAGATTCATATTCGAAATTTGACGGAGTCATTGACAAGTCGAGCATCCTAACAAGAACAAAGTACTATGCTACACGGGATATTTATACTTCAATGATGTTTTAGATGAATTTCTTTCATTGAAATTCATTAAAATGTGATAATAAATAGTGATTTACAAAAGATAATAGGTTCAAACCTATAGCTTGCCCGCTCTGATACATAATTTTGTCTCGTCTGCTATTTTTTTTAATTGTATTATTATTGATCGTGAATTATTTTAGTTCAATCAATTGAAAAGGACATGTTTGAAATTTTTTCACCAGCTTTCATTTATTCCAAAAGGAATGCTAAAACAAATATACACAGACCAAGAAAAAAAAAAAAATTGAAAGGAAAAGAAATTTTGGTAGCATAGCCATAGAGAATGGCCCAGCTTTTGGGTGTTGAATCTGCAAAGGCTAAAGCTACTTTATTTGGTTGACAAGTCAATTTTAGGATTAGGACATAACAAAGAAACATTAAAACAAAGGCAAAATCTAGTAGGGGCATGGGCTGTATTGAAATGGAGGATTCTTGATGAGTTTCTATTTGTTTTGACTATTGCTGAATGCATTTCAATTGAGATTTGCCAATAAAAAAAGTTCAAAAAAAGGAAAGAAAGAAAGAAAGTTGCATTGCATTAAGTAAGAATTTTGCCGCTTGTGATTGACACGTTTAGAACATTGAACCGCATAATACAAATAA